TCCCGGAAGGAAAAGCAGTTCAGTCTTGTCAAGGTTGAGCTTGAGGTGATGAGCAGACATCCACTGAGAGATGTCAGCTAGACAAGCAGAGATGCGTGCGACGACCTGGGTCTCTGAGCGGGGAAAGGACTTTTACTCAAGTACAAGATCTGAGTACTTCTACTTTTACACAAGTACAACATCTGAGTACTTCTACTTTTACTCAAGTACAAGATCTGAGTACTTCTACTTTTACTCAAGTACAAGATCTGAGTACTTCTACTTTTACTCAAGTACAAGATCTGAGTACTTCTACTTTTACTCAAGTACAAGATCTGAGTACTTCTACTTTTACTCAAGTACAAGATCTGAGTACTTCTACTTTTACTCAAATACAACATCTGAGTACTTCTACTTTGCTCAAGTACAAAAATAATCTAAGTCGCAGGAGGTGGAAATGTCCTGATTATCATTTCCTAGTTTGGGTGAGTTTTTGGAGTTATTGTAATATTAATAAAAACAATAATTGATCTCACTTTCTGTTGTTTTCTTTTCCAGAATCATCTCTGCGGTGTTCCAAGAATGCGGTACGTCCCTCTTAATCCTCAGTTTGAATATCGTGTGTCGTTTCATGTTTTAACTCTGATCAAATGACATCTTCCTCTTCTGTCTCCCTCCCTCCTCTTCCTCTGCAGCTGCTTCAGTCTGCGCTCAGCGTTCATCCTGATAAGGTGGAGAAGACCATCGAGGACATCATGGCGCTGAAGAAGATCAACCCTGACACCAACCCACAGTGAGACTTTAGATATCTACGTTTCTGTCACTTCATCCTTCTGTGAGGGTCTCTCAGGCAGTTAGCATAACACCTCTGAATCAGAAAGAGTATAAACAACACTTTCCCAAAGGCTGCGGATGGAAATGAATTAAATCTACTACAAAGAGTATTTTCTCTCTTTGAGATTAACGATCCCTAACATTGTTTATTGTTAAAAAATACAAACAACTAATAGCAAGGCTTATTTTGAATCTACTCCTAAATAATGTTAAAATTCACAAACAAAATAATATGAATTCAACAGTGAGCAAAAACAACAATTAAATGTAAAAAGACCTAAAATAAGAGTGTGACGTGTATTTATGTATATATGAGTGAACATATAGACAATGATACAGTTATTTTATTGAATATACAATGTTTTCACTAGAAACATAGATTTGATCATTTTAAAAAGTTTGTTTCCAGGCCAGAGGTAGTGCCACTGATTCCATGGTTTAGTGTTGCTTTCTTCCTCAGCGACCATTAGAGCTCAGACTGAGCTGTAAGTCTCTCAGAATAACAGACAGCGTGTGGACGTTGATAGGTTCCTCTCTCACGATCACCATCTCTCCCCAGGCTGGGCGTGCTAAGTCATTTCTTTGAGATATATGTCAATATTTTGGGATGTTATATCATTTTTTCAGAAGCCAAGTCATTATTTTCTTATGCTAACTCATTATTCTGAGATGCTTAGTCATTGCTTTGAGATGCTAAATGCTGAAGTGAAATAATGAAGCATAGTTAGATGATCACTGGAAAAGCAGCATTTCATTAAGTAACAAATCTGCTTCCTCAGCGACCATTAGAGCTCAGACTGAGCTGTAAGTCTCTCAGAATAACAGACAGCGTGTGGACGTTGATAGCTCTGGTTCCCCTCCTCTCTCCCCAGGCTGGGCATCTCTCTTCAGGCCAGCCTGCTGCAGATCGTGGGCTACAGGAAGCTGGTGGGAGAGGTGGAGAAACTACGCAGAGAACAATACGACTGTGAGAACCAAGAGCACGAGGACATGCTCATGAAGGTATATCTATAACCAGAGAGAGAGAGAGAGAGAGAGAGAGAGAGAGAGAGGATTTNTTTACCAGCTTTGAGAACACTTTCATGATCAATCATTATAAAACATATCAACAGTAAAAGTAGTCATTGTGCAGATTGGTCCATTTCAGAATAATATATATGATATGTTTTATAATGATTGATCATGAAAGTGTTCTCAAAGCTGGTAAAGGTGCAGCTAGTTTGAATGACTTTGTATACTGCAGGGTAGCTTGTGGATTTACTCCAGGTGGAACTAAAGTCAGATTTAACACTTGATTAGATTTCACATCATTCATCCACATCTGTAAAGTAACTAAAGGTATTAAATACATGCAGTGGAGTAGAAGTACACCATGTACCTCTGAATTAGAAGTACAAAGTAACATAACATGGAAACACTCAAGTAAAGTACCTCAAAATTAACAAAAAGTACTTGAGTAAATGTACTTAGTTGCTTCCTGCCTTTGATTACTATAAGCTGAATAAACATGAGTTTATTATCAGGCAGTGTGAGAGTTACCTATCTTCAGGGTCCTGCGGGCTCCATGCTTGTTGTTGTAACAGATCCTCTGCAGCTCGCAGCGACCCGTTAGCTTCCTGGTGATGAACTTCAGTCCTCGCCACAAACACTTACAGTACAGGAAGACGAAGAACTGTGTCACCACCCTGCAGATTTCAAAGATTCAAGAATCAAAGTTTTTATCATCATATGCACAAAGCTACAGTGTAACAATGGCTTCTGACCTGAGCTCCTCCAACAATGCAACATATATAATAAAATAAAAAAATAAAAATAGTGCAAGAAGTCTATATACATGTAGATAGAATATGATATGTATAAGAACAGAATATGAAATAAAATAATGTAAATTAAGACAAAAGAGGGTGAGATACGGACTTTGGTGTCATCTGTTAAAAATACTACAAATATAGTTAGTTGAATACTCAGTTCTGATTGGTCGATTTGGACATTCCAGGGGTCTGTTATTTTTCGCTAGCAGTCCGTTGCTAAGAAGAGCAGACCGTTGCTAAGGAGAGCAGACTGTTGCTATGGAGGATACTCTGAACAAAGGGACTATTTGCAGTCTTGATTTTAGTATTTACTACTGATATTAAATGGAAATTACATTTAGATAAAATAATGTTGGTCTTACATGTTAGTAAATTGAATATTTGGGAGTTTTGGTAATAATATAAAACAATAAATGATATTGTTTTGAGTTTTTTTACTACTTTTTATGTTTTACAGACCTATATTAACTACCACTTCAACCGTTAGTGAAAAAACGTAAAGAATTGGTACTCTAAATAATCACGATATAGACTTGGCACCCTAAAATAACAATAAATGGGAGAAAAAAAAAACGTCAAGCTGTTTTTGGTTTTACATGTTAGTAAATTGAATATTTGTTTGGTAATAAAATAAAACAGTTAATGATATTGTTATGAATATTTTCAATACTTTTTTTCTATATTAGCTGTCACTGCAGCTCCTGATACAGTTTCCTTATTTATTGCAAAAAATAGTTTTTTACAGGATTTTACGGATTATTAGCTCAGTATTTTTGGGGGATTCATAATAAAAATTGCATTCTATTCAGAGTAAACATGTAAAATGGGCTCAATAAGAGTACACAAATAAGATTGTGTGTTACTTCTCGTCTACCAGCAGCAGATCAAAGTGTGCTATTTTTACAGATGACACTGAGGACCAAAATGGAAATGTGTGTTTTGGGAAATGCACAGCGACCCGTTATAAAAACGTGGAGACTAAATGATTTCTATCCTCTTCTGGATTTTCTCTGAACGTGAGGAAAGAAGGAAGAACACACTTATGTTGTAGTCCCTGTAGATCCCGAAACACAGAATTAGGGCCTATTTGTAATTTAGCAACTCAAATAAAGACGACTAAGATTCTCTGAATAATGAGTTAGCATAAGGAAATGATTACTTAAAAATATCTTAGCATCTAAAAATACCGACAGCGTCTCATAACATACTGTAGACTAAGCATCCCAAAATAACGTCATATGTCTCAAAATAATGACTTAACATGTCAGAGAAAGGACTAAGCATCTCAGAATAATGAGTTAGCATCTGAAAAAATGACTTAGCATCCAAAAATAACGACACATATCTCAAAATATAGACTAAGCATCCCAACATAACTTCTTCTCAAAATACAACCTAGCATTTCAAATAATGAACTACATCTCCAAATATAGACTAAGCATCTCAAAGTAAGGCCTTAACAATGTTAAATATATAGCTAGCATCCCAAAATGTTGATTTATATCTCAAAATAACAACCTAGCATCTCTAAAAAATGACAATTAGCATCCCAAAATAACGACATATAGGCTATCCCAAAATAACAACCTAGCATCTCAAATAACGACTTAGCATCTCAGACTAACGACATGTCTCAAAAATAACGACATAGCATCTCCAAAATACAGACTTAGCATCTCAAAAAAAGGCCTTAACAACTTAAAATGTAGAACTAGCATCCCAAAATGTGGACATATCAAAATATAGGCTTATCATCCCAAGATATAGACTTATATATCAATATTTTTGACTAAGCATCTAATTTCTCATTATTTCGACCTGCTTTGTAAAATGTTTACAGGATGTTTTTTTTCTGCAGAAATGGTTTCCACACACAGAAAGCAACAGATCTATTAATAGAGACTTGGTGTACATGTGCTCCATAATTAAGAGGCCTCCTCCTCCTTACAGCCACTTATACTGGCCACAATAAGATAATCGATCCGCCTTCACTGGGAGAACTGGGAATACACATCCTGCAGTATTTAGTGTAAACAAGACATTGCAGTGGATCGAAATGAACGAAGGAAAACAGGCTCAGAAAACGGAGATTTTGAATGAATTCCTTCACGTTTTGACGAATAAAATGCACATTAAAGAGTGTCTTTACCTCAGAAAATGCTTCATCTTGGTGTTTTCGGTGGTGTTTCTGCAGAGAGATCACCTGCAGACAGAAAGCAGAGGATGTGTCGGTGGTTTCTCCGTCTGTGTGGAGGATTAACGCGCAAATAATCTGCGGCTTTTCCTCCTCCCTGCCTGCACCCGGTGAGCAGCGCTAATATTAACCTGCAATCCGTGCAACGACACACAAACACACACATATAGACAGGGAGATATGTGGTTTATTTCCCCCTTTAGTGCATCAATAACACATTGTATAAACGCTCCGTGGTCTGCGGGCTGGTTAGCAACCCGGTGCACAAACACAGAATCATCCATAGCGACACACGGTGGCTGTAAAAGCTTCAGTGCATGCAATACAAACATTAAAAATCCATGCGATAACACACAATAATGTCCTCTTACCGATGTGAGAGGAGTATAGGCTAAAAGAAGATGGAGCTGTCCGGTGTTGTGCTGCTCACTGCTGCAGAGCCTCCATGATGATGACAGTCAGTGTGCAGAGACTCACTGCAGAATACTGAGGAGGACAACATCAATTATACATTCACACAGCATTCCCGTCTCTCTGGGGTATAGAGAGGGTTTACTGTGAAAAAAAACCTAAATAATGTGATGATAATGATTTATGGATACAATTGCTTATTGCGTTATTTTTAGGCAGGTTTGAGGAGGAATGGATAACAACATGTGATGGGATTACGTAATGGGGATGCAACACAAAAGGTAACTGTATTTTCTTAAAGTTACATACAATAATCAGATTACGGTTTTATTTTAAAAGAAAGAAAGGGGGATTAGTAGGATTATAATGTTACTTTGCATTTCAAAATACAAATAGTGTTATAGGTTTACTTTCAAGTAAAAGTACTGCATGGAAAATGTCTCTTAAGAATTGCATGGAAAAGTAACCACGGCAGAAAAATCTAAAATTACATTAAAAAAAACTCCAAAAAATAAAAATGTGTAGAGATGCTAATTATTTTTCTCTTAATCTGCTAATTGATCAATCTTTTGTTGAATAAACATTAAGCTAAACATTGCAACATATCATCATTTAAGGATATTATTTATTTGGTGCATATTGCATGTATTCCTTTGCAGACACTTCTGTTATTACAGCATCTGCACCTCGCCTTGAATACATCTCCTTTAATTACATAAAGTAATATTGCACTGAGATAATGAAGTATATCTCCGCCTCTTGATTAAATATATATAATAACTGGCTTTTAAATGTGGTGTATTCAGAGGTGGGAAGTAGTGGAGTACAAATAGCCTACTTTGTTACTGTACTTAAGCACATGTTGCTGGTATCAGTAGCCTACTTTACTCCACTACTTATTTTTCTGACGTCTTTTTACTTTGACTTCTTACATTTTGAACCCAAATACCTGTACTTTCTACTTCTTACATTTTGAACACAAATACCTGTACTTTCTACTTCTTACATGTTGAACACAAATACCTGTACTTTCTACTTCTTACATGTTGAACACAAATACCTGTACTTTCTACTTCTTACATGTTGAACTCAAATACCTGTACTTTCTACTTCTTACATGTTGAAACAAATACCTGTACTTTCTACTTCTTACATGTTGAACTCAAATACCTGTACTTTCTACTTCTTACATGTTGAACACAAATACCTGTACTTTCTACTTCTTACATGTTGAACACAAATACCTGTACTTTCTACTTCTTACATGTTGAACACAAATACCTATACTTTCTACTTCTTACATGTTGAACTCAAATACCTATACTTTCTACTTCTTACATGTTGAACACAAATACCTATACTTTCTACTTCTTACATGTTGAACCCAAAT